CGAAAGCAGAACCAATAACGAGCATTCCGTGTTTCTAGAGAATCTCGTGATTGGTTCTACTCTTGTCCCGAGGAATTTCATTGGCCCATTTTCATATGCATAAGTCAATGGACCAATCAAATTCTTTATGTATATGGTTTATGCGTTATGCAAAAGTGTGTGCTGCGGCCTTATAATAGAACATGAGCATAACATAAAACTGTTGGACCAATAAGCATTCAGCATGAAGTTGCCATATTGATTAACATAAGATGCTCATTGGTCCAACAGTTTTATGTTATGCTCCATGCTTTATTATGCATTTCATGTGCGATAAGCGGGGAAAACAGACTTTTGCATAACGCATAAACCATATACATAAAGAATTTGATTGGTCCATTGAGGGCCAATGTCACAAAGCTTCGATTAACTAATCGGCCTAGTAACTTTGCAGGCTTCTAACTGAAACTGATGTCGGAGTATTAATGTGAGCTCAGCTCCGACATCAACTTCAGTTGGAAGCCTGCAAAGTTATTAGGCCGATTAGTTAATCGAAGCTTGGTGACAGTGGCCCTGACTCGATGTATAAGAAAATGGGCCAATGAAATTCCTTATGCACATGCTTTATGCGTTATGCAAAAGTGTGTGTTTCTCGCCATAGGGCCCATAGGCTTTATACAAGAGTTTGTACTGCGGCCTTTATTACTAACGTCTTAGGGCGGGTTCACACCTTGGCGGAAAAGTCGAAAAAATTAACAGAAAGTCGACCACCAGCGCGAGTTCTGATTGGCTACTGCTCTTCCGCTTTCCGCTTTTCCGTCAAGGTGTGAACCCGTCCTTAGGGCCTCTTTCACCAACGCCGATTAACTTAATCGACGATTAGTCCATTGGAATTGACCAATCGCGTCTGTCGTCAAAACTAAATGATAAATGCGAAGGTGAAAGAGAGCTCGCTTATTGGTGTATTCTTTTAGATCATCCAAGCAGAATTTTAGATCTAGAAGAATACATCAATAACAGCAAGCGCTCACTCAAGTGTGAGTCCGCTGAATGTGCCCATTGCTTCTGTCACAACTGTTTACAACGCCATCTTAACAGCGATCTCTAATTGGGACTACAAATATTTATCCCTACCACGTGACTTCAACAAAGTTATATATTTGGATTTTTGGCTTGGAACGCTGTCTTACGTTATTATTGTCTGTAAACTTGAGGCAACTTCTATCTCGCCGTCTCGTCTCGTAGGTTATGTCGCATTGACAACGCGCACTAAGATCGTGATCACGAACTCTGTAAAACCACGTGCGAATCAATCTCAACCTGACTCAGTCAAACAAGCAATTAAACAAGTAGAATCGCACGACATTCTATCCTCCATTTAAAAGGTTGGCTGCACACTCAAGTATCTCGGTAAAAGACTTATTCTCGCCTTTATTTTCTTCACGGGGACGTGAGAAAAGAGAAAGAAAGAAAGAAAGAAGGAGAGGCAGAGAGAAAAAAAAGCCGTGTCCAAATCGACGCACAGCGCAGAACGCACGTGGTAGAAAAGACATAACTACGAGATGTCGGCATCTCCTATTGCCAGACAGGCCACCCAGAGCCAAAGCATACCATCCAAGAGGGTTATTATTCATGATCCCAATCAGCTACCGGTTGATTATTCGTCTACCCCTGGAGGCACGCTCTATTCCACGACGCCGGGAGGTTAGTGTATCCAACTTTTTGACTCTTCCATTTCTTAACTCGCTCACGTCTCTAACAATAAGACTTTTAGATCATTCTAAGGTGCGTTCAGTTTCGCACATGATACATCAATTGTCCTTGTTTAACATTTGGTGAGCACAAAGATGAACGATGCATTATACGCATCATGCGCATTCTAAACTACTGGATCATTTCAGACTATGGCTGATATTAATAATTTAGACTGATCTATTCTGATTTTATATTTAATACCATTTTAAATGTAGTTTTAAGATATCACAAACTACAACAGAGGGCTGTATTAGTGTCTTAAGACATTACTTAAGACGATCTTGAAATAATCCTCAAATCGACTGCTCTCTGTAAAACTTATGGAAAATATACATTTAGACGATATTTGTAGTTGATTTTTACATTTGAGACTGTCTAAAGTACAGTTTCAAGATGCTATAAATCAATCAGAGGGTGGCTTTCTTTTCATTCATAATCGGATCTTATATTTGGAATCGCATCTTAAGTAGTCTTAAGATATCACACGAACACAATCGGAAAACTATTAACATCTTAAGAGGCATTACTCAAGACTATCTCAAAATAAGAACGGACTATGAATACCTCCCTTACAATTATTAAGGACACACATTGCGAGCTGGTGCTCAGTTAATAATGGGGATTGGCGAATAAATGTTAAACGAAATAAAAAAAAAAGGTTCTTTTTTAGAGCTCCATCTTCAGAGTTCACTAAAATAAAAGAATGCCCGAATTGTCGCGAGGATCTCATGATTTCCTTTGTATTGCGTGCGATTATTTACGATTTCATCAAACAATAAGCGCACGTGCAAAGCGCCGTCAAGGCCATTGATATTTACGCACAACGCGATTGTATCTTTCTCTTTCTCCCGGAGCGCACGTATGTACATTTCTACATACGCATACGCGTGAGTGCGACTCGATAACAAACAGTTACGTAATCCTGTTTTGGCATAGGTCTGTTTGATCGTTCGGTTGCGTGGAAAATATCCGACACTTTTGTCGCACGCGAATTTATATCGTATTGAAGTAGCCGGTCGATTATCAGTTCGCGATAATACGCGACCTTGACGTTAATCCATGCTCGACATGCGGAGCGATGTCCGGCTGATCATTTAGTTGAGGGCCTCTGAATGCTTCCAGATGCTTCGGTGACACAATTCGACAAAAGTGTCGTTCAATCTCTGTTACTGATTGAATTAAGAAGGATAGAATGAAGCTTGTGTCGATTTGTGGTACTAAACTAAATAGAAAGCACTCTCTAATGACCTTTGAGTATCCCCTCTTTTATATTATCTGTTAGTTAAATAATTAATATATCCTGTTAATATATTATATAATTTTATTATATTTATTATATAATGTATTATACAATAATACGTGTACGTTATAATTTATGTATTAACGTTACATATGGTGTACATTGATATATTCATTTAAATATTTTATAAATAGTTTATTACTCTTGCTCATTGCCAAGAAAGGACTTTATTTACAAATGTCTTACTCATATACATTTATCCATACCTTATAAAATAAAGGCTAACTACAACTTTCAATTAGCATATCTACATTAGTTTACGTACCTACTTTTCATATCATACGTATAGCTTATCCACCTATCGCAACTTTTACTACTTCTATCATATTAATATTATTTACAATGTTTAACATTATTTACAATTATTATCAAATTGTTACTTTATTATAAAATTTACATACAATGTAGATGTTTTATAATTTATATTGATAAGTTCTTATAAGTTATAACTGCATATGTTATGAGGAAAGATAACAGCATGTTTTATATAATGTTTTTATAATGATTTATATAATGTTAATTATATAAATCCATAGAATTTAACTCTTGTTTTTAACGTGTGTGTTTTTCCTCCAAATACTTGTTAATTTTTTTAGCTATCACTAAAAGAATTCTGTACTTTTATTTTCTGGAGGGAAAAAAGAAGGAAGAATAGGCTCTTTTGTACAAAACTAAAAAATAGATTTTTTCCTCTCAAGAAAGAAATGATTTATTAAAGTAATAGAGATAAAACGAATGTGATTCAAATTACGAAGCCGCAGATCCTCATGCTATTTCTTGAAGGGTTAAACTTATTAAGGCTGAAGTTCAGATCGCCAAACTCGACATTGAACGTGCGATATTGAATGTTGATTCTACTTATTGCGTTTATAGCGAACGATAAAAGGATAACTTATCACGTTGATGTTTACACTTCTTTATATGCGCGTCACTTCGATCACAAGCAAAGAGAAGGCGAGTCGCGAAATAAATATGTTATAAAAAAATGCGGATTGAAGTTATATTAGGTGTCCTGCTATATATTTTTTCTTCGATTTGCGGATTCTTTTGCCAATTTCGAACTGGTTTTTTCCACATGTACACACATTAGCTTCCTAAACGATGAGTAATACCACTTTTAGTTATTAATCATATTGACAACAACTGCAGTTCACTTATCAGATAACGTTCCAAGTGGTCTTTAACAAAACCTTGCTCTTGAGGTTCAAGGTATCTAACAGCAAAAATTTTTTTAATTGTACAAAAAAATTGCACCAGTTTTAAATTTTTAATACGGTCGAATGAGTTTGAATGATTTATTATTTGATTGGAAAAATTGTCACACAAGTCAGATAAGACTTTTAAAGATGATATATTGTTATTGGATATCTTTACTGATAATTCCGCTCTATTTATCTTATTCTTAACAAAGAGTTCGATTGTTGATATAACAATCAATATAACAATATTGTTCTTTTTCTTAAGTCTATTATGAAAACCGTAATCTAATCTTTCCACAGATGTTTATATTAATATTTTTATTTGTAATGATAAATCGTTCTCTCCGAGAGCTACTCGATTTATACCTATTTAATTAGAGCAGTCGACAAGTCCTGGATAAAAAAAAATATTTTGTAGATCACAAACTGTGGTGTAAATACTATAAATGTACAACATGGAAGTGTCGATAAAGTAATCACTTTTCTGGTCCTATTTTCTAAAAATCTCAAAAAAATCTTGGTCTCTGATGTGAATAAAAAATATCCAGACGCGAAAATCGTATGAATAAAAAATCTGACCGAAATATAGTAGATAGAATTCACGAGTTCCAGTGTGATAAGCAGTTAGCTGCTTCTTCTATTTCCTTTTTTTTTTCTTTTATCATGATTCAAGCGAAACTCGGTAGCGAAATTGTCGGTGAATTCGCAAATCAGGTAATTAAAATCAGGTCGCATGCACTCAGAACGCTATTGTTCTTCGCCCCGTAATGTTTCCTGGGGCGTTAAACAGCCAAGGCCGAATTAATGCATGCGCGCGCGATACATACCAACGTCGCCTGATGCGTAATCGGTGACGCGTGTAAATGTTTATCGCTCGCGCCACGCCAGCGCGGCGCGCAGAAAGTCACGGCGATCTGAAAAACAAGGGTACATAGCGTGAAAACGACTGGACCTTCGAGATAACTTTAGCCGCGACAGTGAGCGCGCTTCGTAAATCTCGCATAAAATCTCGGCGCGTAAACAATGACGGTTAATAGACAGTCGTTTCGCAGATGGACGCGTGTTCCTATGGAACCGTTGCGAAACTGTGATGAATTTTTTCTTTATCATTACTATTGTCATTCAGATTGGTGAACGATTTGGCCGAATAAAAAGAAAAAAAGACGCTAGGCACTCTTCGAAGAAAATTGATTGTTCATTCATGTGGTTTCTGATCTAGTCGAGTCGACTTCTAAGTTAATAGATACGATCTTCTTCTTTGTGTATATTTACATTATGATTATTCTTGAATAAAGATTTTGTCAAATAAATTTTAATCAAGCTTCTTTAAGTATACATTTATTTCATCTTGTGCTATAAAAAAAAACGAGACAGTTTGTAAAAAAAGAATGAAAGATTCGTGTTATACGAATTAAAATCGACGTGACTTATACAAAGAAATTCTAACGTCTCTCGGTTTGACTTTATTTCGTCTACGATTATGTTTGATTTAGCATCCTCGCCGACCCTTACACTCCTTTCAAGTTAGGTAGGTGTCCGCACAGAAATACATTTGTATAAATAGACAGCGTACATCGCTTTTCGTATAACTGTTGGACCATTGTGTCGTTTCTGTGTGTAATCGTCATTCCACCGTATCAAATTTTTTTTTTCGAAAATCAGTTCATTGTTCCATTCTATTGTAATCAAATTTTTTATTTACATTCTTCTGGACTAAAAAAAAAATTATTGCCTGAAACATAAAGATCGAAATCTCTTTTGTCAAACTCTCGGCAACCGTAAAATTACGATTATGTCAGATTATGACAAAACCAATTTTAACTTTGTCCAACAGTCATAAATGTTGTAGTCTTATCAGATAACTTTTAATCGCAAGAATACGGCTTCAAACTTGTATAAAAATATAAGAATACAAATTGCGTCGCAAGAAATACAAAATACTTGTTTATGTATGTATGTTTTTCTAGCCATTCTCTCAATCAATTTAATATTCAAGAATACTTTACATAATGAAAATTTAATACATACCTAAAAGGAGTAAACAAGTTTCGTTATAATCACAGAGATTCTATATAGATAATTAAATCTTCACATTTTGCACACAGGTACTCGCATCGTGTACGAACGCGCGTTTTTGATGAATTTGCGGAACTCTCCGATATCACGAACGCCACCACGCAACCCGCTGACCATACCGTCTGAATTGTTGAAGGGGAACACTCCGGTTATCACGAAAGATCCCGCAAAAAATACTAATAAAGGTCAGTCTGCTTTTCTAAATCGATATTTCTTATGTGTGATTCCTGTTTCTTTTTACTAAAAAGTATAGGATGAACAAATATGCATTATTAAGGAAATATTTTACATTAATGACGATATATAATAATTACAGACTCTGTGATGATCGAGGAATCCGCGGAGCAATTTGAAATGGATATGTGAGACAAATACAACGTGCTGTTGTTTATGATTGAAATGTGTTCGTAGCCATGCTCAAAAATATGGTCAATCAGTCCAACGACGATCGCACAGAGTGGAGAGTACATGGCTAATACGCTTTAATCCTGTGCCTTATACCAGTGGTCTTATTAAGAATTGTGAATCTTATAAAAAGATTTTCTCCTTGATGAAAGGCCATTTCTTATTCATATATTATTATATATATTATATACAAATCATTTTATTCTCGACGCTAGTTCTTGACCAATGTTATACGTATGATATATTTGCATATAAAGAACGACCATGAGTGTGAAGGTACTAATGAAACATTAGTGATCTGTTATGTCTTCCTTTAAAAAATGGTCAATATTGCTTTGTAATGTGTTTTGTAAGGAACCTGTATTTATGAATAAATGATACATACATTTTATACATATATGCATTTTACTTTATTATTATATACAGAAGTAATTAAGAAGTACTATTTGATAATTATATCAGGCAATAAGTATCACTTATAACTACATATTTGAGCAAAAATATAATTCAAGGCCAATCAAGTTATATATATATAAAAAAAAACATTACATAATAAAATGTTATGCCTTCTATTTTAAAAGAATTAGAATTTGAAAGAATTATTTAAATCGTTCAAAATTTTAAAAAATTATAAAATGTCAAGCTCCTGCTTTGATGTAACATTAAACTATCACAATACTTTGAAAATCTTGCGAAAAAAATTTATCTAAAAAAAAAAAAGACTATTTTATAGTGACAATACCTTTCACTACTATTTTCAAAAAGCATTATGAAAACCCGTGTTAGGTAAGTTAACTCTTTTTTTTTTTTACTAAGTTAACCTTGAAAATTTAACTTAAGATACAAGTTAATTTATAATGAAATTAATTGAATTAAAAGTTAATAAAAAAAAGTAATTGAAAAGTTAAAATTTGTTTTTTTATTTCATATAATTTCAGGGTATCAATCTTAAAAACAACGGAAATGACAAATACATATATATATATATATATATATATATATACTGTTTAAATATTTTGTTCGTATATAATTATTATTACTATTTTATAGTGACAATACCTTTCACTACTATTTTCAAAAAGCATTATGAAAACCCGTGTTAGGTAAGTTAACTCTTTTTTTTTTTTACTAAGTTAACCTTGAAAATTTAACTTAAGATACAAGTTAATTTATAATGAAATTAATTGAATTAAAAGTTAATAAAAAAAAGTAATTGAAAAGTTAAAATTTGTTTTTTTATTTCATATAATTTCAGGGTATCAATCTTAAAAACAACGGAAATGACAAATACATATATATATATATATATATATATATATACTGTTTAAATATTTTGTTCGTATATAATTATTATATTTAAGCAGTAAAGCCATTTCGAAATTTTCGAAAATGAGTCCTGCATTGAACAACCGTTTAACGTGAGTCGAAAATAATATTGACGTGTTATATTTAATAAAAGCACATTTAGAGAAATCTTTTTTCGTAGAAACGTATCAGTCGATAAATAGATTTGAATAATATGGCGTTATCGTATTTTCATTTCGGTTTTGGTTCAGCGTCTTATTATTAAATATAAAAAACTCATCAGTTTTATTTAAGACTTGTTCTTTGGCCACACATAACTTAAGCCTACGTTCATGTACGTCCATATATTCACGGATCATGTGAGTGTATACAGACGCAGCTATTGTTATTACTTCGCATTATATCTGAGATTTAACTTAAAATGAAAAAAAAGTTAATAGATACCGATAAAATGTAATTAAATAAAGTTAAAAAGTTGAGAGCCTAAAATGTAACTAAGTTAAAATTAATCAACTTTTTAATTTAGTACTACTCAACCCTGATTAAAACAAAATTAAAATAAGAAAATAAAAATGGAAATATTAGCGAATAAAATGATTAAACATGATTTTTAAACTGCAAAAGTATTGTACGTCATATACGCTTTTGTAGCAAATTTAATTGGTACATTAAAGATCGTTATACCACTGAAGAGAGGACAAAGAAAGGAGGTGCATAATTTGTCACGCTGCAGAGGAGAATATGATCCATCAAGGAGTGCGAGGAGACAAATAGTGGAATGTAGATGGAAGAATTTATAGAGGAAGAAGGTAAAGGGCTGGAGATAATGAAGAGGATAGATAAGGCAAAAAAGGAAGCAAAAAAGAAGGAAAGAGCAGACAAGAACGAGAACACCTTCTAGATTGTTACATTGTATACAAATCAGAAATCAAAGTATTGTTTAAGTATAGTTTCCGGAGTAGTTCCAAACAATGTTTATATAGACAGTCTTAAAGTATACCAAAGATACAAGCAGTTATATGTATTATATATGAAATATGTTCGATATGTGTGATATATTTTCGTTTTATTTTATTTAATATTATATGTATATATAACATTGATTCAAGATACAGGTATATAAATTGTATGTATACAGAATATTCAATATTAAGAACACATGTAGACCGGAAGTCATCCTAAGTCGCAAGGCAAGAATTAAAATAAATAAATAAATAAAAGATCGTTTTATACATAAATTTAATTCTATAAACATAATATTAATATAAGATTCTTTGGAAAATTAATGGATTTCTCAAACGCAGTACATACATTACATCGCTTTTGCACTGTAGATAAATTTCATATCAATCTTTATATTGTATATATGTATAAATGTAGAATAGAGGATATACAATACTGACACAGTGCACTATTTTAGGTATTTGCTTGTAAAAGTTATCACAATTTAGGACATTTGTCGCCTAATTTCTTTCAATATTTATGCAGACTTTGTTATTTGTGATATTCTTTCCAAGAGTATTGATGCAACATTAACTCTTTTTCCTTGCGCGTCAAAATCGTTATAATAAATTAATTCGCACAAATTTCTGGTTTCTGGGTCGCTTTGCAAAATTTCTTGCAGTTTAGTATAAAATTTATCGATAATTTTATCTTTATATAGTTTATATGCAAAAGATTCAGAATGATTGTGTTTCTCTACTTCGTAATACGTTAACAAAGGTGTTGCACCTTCCACCACTATATATACTGGATTATTTTTCGAGTTTCTTCCTCCAGGATATATCTTGTAGGCATTATTGCGATATATCCTGCCTATATTCCCAGCCCGGTTGCGTTTCTCCTCCTCCAGCTCGTGTACATTCTCCATCCACTGATAGGACGCTTCTTTTAAGTTTGGTGGAATGCTTCCAGAAGATGGTATTAAAAGAAATAGCTTGTGTACCGGAAATGTAACATTGTGATAATCCTCGAAGTTTTCGATTTTCTCAATTATGCCCTTTCTATCGGTTTCGGTGGATGGTAGTGTAAGCCGCAGATAGCCGTAATAGAAACTATACGCCATACCTGTGCCATAATCCAGACCCCTCATATCATTGAGATCAGGCATCAAATGTGTCATATATTCGAGCGTCCTGATAATACAGAAGGAAAATATCATCAACGGTATGCACACATAGGGCCCGAATTTCCAGATGTAGCTGAATGGGTGTTCGCGAGTAATGACACTCATAATAAAAAATACAAGTGTAAATATGATAATGATCACCCAGTGATTGAACGCGTGATTGAATGATATTTCGAAGTGATATTTCGTCAATGAATAGAAGCTCTCATTGGATTGCTGGCCGAAAATGAGAGACGAGATTAGTATATACCACAGGAGTAGTATTAAGTCACTCAGCACGAAGATTATGCCAAAGAAGGATGTAATGAAGATGGTCGCGGCCACCGCATTCTCGTTATTCAGCGCATTCCTCAAGGCCAATATGTAAAGAAAAATGATGATTGAAAAGCACATAATGAAGACCATGTTCTTATGATTGAACATATTTTGGAAATCCTTTTTGGTTTTCATCTTCGCTGAACTACAATCACTGAATCAAGCTTGATCCGCCTCAATCCGGCCTCCACTGCGATAAACTTCAGAGAAACGTGTTGCGTCAAGTGGCTGGCAAGCAACAACCATCAAGTATCAAGTAACACACCTGCCTTCCTTCTACGAATTATATATCGAAATACCTAGAATGGGAAACGTTAAAAGCTTATCCAGATGAACTTGCATAATCAAGCGTAACGTGCCGTGAAAAAGCCGACCATTCTTACGTGTCCGATGTCACGTTGCTGAACTTCCAAGTCTATTTTATACCGTAAATACGTAAGTGGTCGACTTCTTCTTTTCCTATGCATATATATCAGCTTAACAATCACTGAACTATAAGCGGGTGACTTTTTTTATCTTATTTACATAATTGGTGAACGTAAGGATGAGTAATTAGTGTTATATCATGTGTCATTATAAATATTCATAACATACGATTTAGTAAACATTCCTTAATTGAAAGGCAATATTTGTTTACATCGTATATCGATGTATTTTAAATTGTTATTACCATAATGTAAAGATTTTAACTGGATATTACTACTTGAAAAATAAAACTAACTTTGGTTTAAAAAATTAAATAAATAAAGCGCTGACTTATTAAACTGCCCATGTATATTTTTTATTCTGATTTAAAATGATTGAATATAAATTAGATATGCTTTAACTTGATAAAATATATCTACTTCTCATGTTACATTGAATTCTATCTATCAGAGAAGTTTCTCACTCCTCTGCTTCTACTCTCTGCTTTCCCACTCTCTGGTTCTACGTATACATAGGCAGGCCTGAGTATTTGAAATACTTTTTTATTTGAAAAACATATTCTTAAGATAAGTGTTTTATATTTTCAACATAGCACATGAAAATGTTTTGTATTTTATATTTATATATATATATAGATATCATAGGGAGTATATAAAAGTATATTTTATATTTCAATATTAATAAAAAATTGAAAGTATTTTGTATTTCAAATACTAAAACTGACAATTAATCTTATTATTTAAATTACAAAATACACGAAACTTTCAACTTTTCAATTTCAAATACAAAATATGTAATACTTTTATACGCACCAATAAAATATAAAATATACTTTTATTGTAAAAATTGTTTTATTTTGTAAAAAATAAAATGTTTTAAATAAAAGTATTTCAAATATAGTTATATATCCAGCCCTGCATAGGATACTGAATGATTTTCAGCAAGAGATAAGGATGATACAATAACTTTGTTCTTTTTAGTCTAACTTTTTGCACAGTTCTTCTGCTTTCTGTTTTTTTCAATGTAAAATTAAAAAAAGGAAAAATGAACCGTGAAAGAAGTCTAGCTAGTATAGGCCTAGTACAACACAATGAATCATTATTATGTACATTTTTGTTATCTATCAAAATAGTTGTTAAAGACAAAATTATTACTGTATTACACTGCATCATACTTGTTTCTTGCTGAAAAAAGTAAAATCATATTATATCCTTTTAACTGTTAAATTAGCCATGACATATCTAACAAGGGGACGCTCAAGCTAGTATATCATGGATTTGTTTGAAAAAAATTGATACTTTGAGACAAAAAAATTTACACGTGTTTCGGCATTTTACTCCATAGAGCCCCGATTGGTCAAAACAAATTAAAAACCAAACAAATTTCTGCGCTAGTGATTGAAGTACCTTATCTCGTAAACGTAAAGCACATCACTGTATGGCTCGGTTGGTAGCTTAAACTATTTATATCTATTAAAACCTTTTTTTAACTATTAATAAAACATTAATTATTAAATGTCTTTATTATGATATTACTGTAAAAAATAATATATTTTAAACTATTTATATCTATTAAAACCTTATTACTCGTACAAAAAAGTGATATATACATTTTTTGTCTACAAAATTCTCAACCTTCCGAAAAATAACATGTTTTAATTTTTTCTAGTCGAAAACGCGTTTTTTTATATTAAAAAATGACTCGTATTTCGGATATATATTAAAATTAATTTTTATATTAAAAATAAGATAGGCCCAAGCTTATTATCGCACCTTATGTTTTCGAAAAGTTGAGAATTTTTTAGAAAAAAGTGTATAGATCACTTTTTTATACGAGTAATAGTTTTGTAAGTAAAAATGAATTGAAAAATTTCAAGCAAAACTGGCAATCACTAGCGCAGAAATTTGTTTGGTTTTTAATTTTTTTTGACCAATCGGGGCTCTATGGAGTAAAATGCCGAAACACGTGTAAATTTTTTTGTCTCAAAGTATCACCTCAATTTTTTTCAAACAAATCCGTGATATACTAGCTTGAGCGTCCCCTTGTAAGAAATATAATTAAATATTTATACCAAGAATCAAATATATCGAATGTCAGTCCTTAATGTTGTTTTGTATAGAACTTCTACTATAGATACGCTAGTTTTATGATCTCTTAAGCAACTGCAAAGTACTACAATGGATTACGGCTGCGGTCTATTTGATGCTACAAATATTTCGATGCATTTTTTGTATTAGTCGATTAGTAAAATTCTTTCTTGTAATTGGTCAATTAAAAGCTTCGAAGCATTTGTAGCGTCAAGTGGACCGTACAACAGCAATTGATAATAACTAACATAAGCCGCTGCAAGTGACTTCTTTTTTTTTAATTAATAGCTCCCGCCTTCTAAAATTGTAGGAAGTTAATACGGTCAAATCACGTTTTATGAGTTCGATCAATTTTTTAGTTATCAATCGATTGCAAAATTGAAAAATGATGATGCAATTTACGTAAAAAGAGTGTAACCCGTTCAAATTGGTCCAAATACCATAACACCTGCGTCTACGACGTCATCACATGCTGCATAAACATGCATCGGGGCGAACGACGAATCTAAATTCGCAGAACAAACAAGAGATATGCTCAACACTTTCAAAAATATACTATTATGCTGGTCTACAATAGGGTCACAAGTTGCAAGTCGTAAGAAATAAGTCAATCACAGTTGAATATGACAAAAATAATCGACTATGATTGGTTAATTTCTTATGGTTTACAGCTTGTAACTCTATTGGAGAAAAGGCTTCAGAATAGTATCCGAACCGAAACGCGTCCAGCGCAGTCGAATGGTTCTCCAGAACTGACTGACTGCAAAGTGCAAGTGCCTGGAGTCACACGAAGCGTATTTGCCGCGTATCGCGTAACTACGTGACCAATCAGAAGCAATCTGCTATTGTGGTTTAGCACATTTTACTGATTATTGATTGGTTACGCGATACGCGGGCAAATACGCCTCATGGGACTCCAGCCTGACAACGACAGGACGCGTCCATGCAACCTGAGGTTGAACTAGGATATGCCTTCCATCTGACACAACCGTCGTTCTATCTCTCTTGACATTCAGAGAGTGCCAAAGATAGAACGACACTTGTGTAATCAGGTGGAAAACATCCTTAATGAACTCTAGATAATCGAGGAGTGTTTTTGGCGGGAAGACGTTTGCCGACAACCTCTTTCATTTCCGGTGACGGGGAAAGGAGGACGAAAAGCGTGGCCGAGACAAAGGCGCGGGAAAGCGGTCCCGTTTTTTCCCTGGCCGGTGTCGGTTGGTCTCACGTCGCACATGGTCGCACCTGCCGGTGAACTCGCGATTTCGTAATCGCGAGGCGACGTGCGATCGTCCTGTAACGGTTTCTCGGGTGCAGCTACGTCTCCCCGTAGAAACACGAGAGAGGAAGTTGAAGGAAGCCACTTGGCGCCAGGGAAAGAGAGTGGGGGGGGGGGAACAGGAGAGTGAATTGGTGGGTGGGTGGATCGGGAGGGGAGGAAATGGAGGGGAGAGAGCGGAACAGCGTGTGTTGCCAGGTCGCGCGCGCGGAGCGCTGTTAGCGCGAGTGAAACGAGCCGATGGACCGACCACAGCACGGTCGGGAGACATCTACGATCGATAAAGGTTCGTAGAGAGAGCCTGAAATCGCGTCGCGCGACGGAAAATCGCGAGAGTGGAAGGAGGAGAGAGAAAGCGAGAGACAAATCAGCCGGCAAGCGGCAAGAACGCGACGCACGCTTTTGTAACAAGAGGTGATAAACGCTTTGCGATTTTTCGCGACGCAGGCAGGACAGCTGCTGCGACGACGACGACGGCGGCGGCGACAGCGGTGGGTAGTAGTGGTGGTGATGATGGTGATGCGCGACGCCGCGCGATTAATACAATCGGCAGGTGATTTCTCGTCGCTGATTAAAGCGCCATGTCCCGCAATGGACCAATCAGCTGCTTGGTAAACCGCCGTGAGACCTCGAGTCTGTCCACAGACGAATGACAACAAAAGAGACTGATAGAAGTCGCGCGCGCGAGAGATCGAGCCCGAGTTTTTTCGCACGCGAGTGTGTTACCCCCGCGCGCAGCCGTGAGGCCCAGTATATTCGCCGTCGCGGCCGCTTTTTTTCCGTTTACCCCCCGTAGCGCGCCGCGAGTAACGTCGCTTAGCCTGGTGGTGGTGAAAGGTGCCGTGAGGAATATGAAGAGGAGAAATGTCGAGTGCGGTAAGCTTCGGAGGCCCTTGAAACGCAACAAGCTCACCGAGGGAATCTACGGAAGGTAAATTTCTCACGCGCCGCCATATGCGTATTCGCGTTATGTATGTACATCTCTACGTCGGGGAATGGCCTCCCTCCCCCCTCCTCCCCGACCGCCCCGCGCCGTGTCCCCCCTTACCCACCTCGCGGAAAGACGCGAGTGTTGTAGGTCACGACAACGATAACGACGACCATAATAATGACGATCATGATAATTATGATTATCATCATAATGTTGATGACGGCAGTGGCAACGATCGCGCGCGCGAATGTCGAAGCAACCGCGGACGCCGAATCGACGCCGTTCGCATCTCGCCTGACATTTACCTGCGAATGTTCTAAGGATAATACGCATCTTCGTTCTCAGAGCTTTCCCCGTTTTCCTTCGTCCCGTAGCCTCTTGTTCAAACGTGGGTCCTCACACATATTTAGCGCATATATGCAGCATCCCATGTTCCAATGACTCTCTATGTATGGCCTACAAGCGGCTAAACATCACGATAATAATAAAACAGATGTGATAGCCTAACTTTTCTTTTTTGTTCCCTTTTTCTGTTTGGAGAGCGTAAGATCTTGTTATGTAAGCTCTCTGGTGTTTTTGATAACACCAGAGATACCTTGGTATCTCATTTTATGTGATTCAAACATATTTATCGAATATTTTGAAAGAAAGTACAGATGGCTCGCAGAGGTCAGTATAATTTGTTTTTTTTTGTCGCTGCCTTGAACTGCATTAAAAACTTTTTTCTCATTTTTTGTTCAAATATATATTTTATTTGAAGAACAAGTATATGTCAGTTGAACTACAAAAAATTAAAGTAAATTTAGAAACATATACAGATGTATCGGTCACTGTGAATTGTAACCTAGCAAAATGTAGCAAACAGCACATTTAAAAATAATTACGTGTGTTTCAGTACCTTGCTTTATCTAAAGTTTCTTCTACTATGGGCCATGGTGATTTTGGCAGACTTCATTTTGGAATTCCGTTTTGAATTTTTATGGCCATTCTGGCTGCTCCTCCGAAGCGTTTACGATTCTTTTAAATATCAAGGCTTGGTAAGTGTTAAAGTGTGTTACGCAATTACTAAGATCACGCAATCAGACATTATCACATATATGTAAATTACTTTTCTCTTTCTGTTTTAGGCCTTCTCTGTATTTTTTATTTGTATTGCACTTACGTCAGACATGATTTGCTTCTTTTTTATTCCTGTGCATTGGCTGTTTTTTGCTGCCAGCACTTATGTTTGGGTGCAATATGTCTGGCATACAGGTACGTAGAAAACAAATATATTTGAAATATGGACAAACATGTAATGTACACCTGTTAAAATGTGATTCCTTCTACTACTGATATTGGTCCATGACATGGTTGTAGGAATTAGAATTTTAAGAATTTCCCCCTTGGTTTTTAATGGATGTAACAGATTAACCAAATTCATATTTTATGTAGATAAAGGAGTGTGTCTACCAACTGTGATGCTGTGGCTACTATTTCTATATATAGAAGCAGCAGTGCGGTTGCGTGACTTACGTCATATGCCATTTCACCTAGACCTCTGTCGGCCGTTTGCAGCACATTGGTAATAATTTTATCTTTGTTTTTGTAGATGAATATATCATTAAAAAATTATGCTTTGTGTATATTATTAGATGTATACAGATCTGGTAGGATAACCTATTTACGTCCATTTGCTCCAAATAAAGTTTTCTGCATTGCGTATTTCTAGCATTGGCTATCCTGTAGTTACATTGGGCTTTGGTTTCAAGAGCTATGTAGGCTACAGAATGAGGCAGGTTAGTAATCTTCAACAATCTTACATTGATTTATTACAAGAAGATCTGGACTATAAGTAAGATACTTATAATGATTATAATATTTATCTCGATTCTTGCTCTTGATAGAGAAAACAAAAAGATGTGGCTAAAGAGAACGAGTTCTATCTACAATTACTGCAGCAAGCACTGCCTCTAGAGCAACAAGCTATGTCAATGCAGCAAATTCAATCGCAAATGCAGCCACAGACACAGCAGGTCACTGCGTCGTTAGAGCAAAATGTAAAAACTCAAACACACAAATTGAGTCCACAGTACAATCCAAGTCCTGAAAAAAGCAGAGGTAGCTTGTATTTATTATCAACTATTATTTTGTGTAAATACAGTATTGCTATAATTTCCATGATTACACGCATTTTAATGTTTTTGTTTGGTCTTTTAGAGGGCAATAATAATTCCATAGAAACAAACGTACAAAATGGCGGAGTACACACTAGTAGCCAGGTCACATCACAAACACAAACTGCTACTACTAAAAGTACTCATAGAAAATCTTTAGACAAGAGTGAAAAGCAGGAAGAGCAGCATAATAAACATAATGTATCAAATAATTCACCGTCGGATAAAAGCGACAAGAAATTTATACATAGTAATGGCAGTACAGTATCGCACAGTGACATACAACTCATCGAAAGGGTGGGGTATGGTCGATTTCATATTCGAAAGTGTATTTCTTCTTAGTCACACTTTAATTTTACGTAAAATACTCATCAATACAATTTCTTAAAACAGATCTGTAAATGATTTTGACATAAATGAGGTAGAAAAGGATAAATCTATCAAGGGTTGCGGACATACTACAATAAAATCACAAACAAATGGTTCGGTAGCAGGAAAATGGAATAACGTGAAAGAAAATCGAGATTCATCGTCTACTACTAATGTCCAACGGGAACGTAAGACTCGTCAGGTTAAAAATACGAGTGAAATAACAGTGGAGCAACAGAAACAGCAAGACGATTATTATCAAAGGTATTTCATACGACAGGAATTTTTCTTGTAAATACATTATAAGTTTTAATAGAAATTCTGCTAATCCAATATATTTTCAAAGGCATAGATTGAAATTACAAATCTGTGTGGTATTTGTACTTCACAAATCCTGTACCGTCTTGTATCCATCTAGTAGACTTCCTGTCAGTTTCTTCAGCATGATTTGTCGTTGAAATAGGTTACTGGTGTGTCGCAGGCTCGAGGCAGACATAAAACGTTTGAAGTCAGATTTGCAATCAAGTCGGCAGATGGAACAAGAATTACGATCGCAAATCAATGTCTTGCTCAATGGAGAGAGACAAGCTAAGGGTGACATTCAACAACTCCAACACGATAACGACCAATTGCAAAGCAAGTAAGTCATTTTTTTAATAATTAATAACTTTATGAATTATGTAATAATTGTAAATTATTTTTGTAACATTACTATTAATTTATATAGAAAAGAATAAGAAGTGTAAGAATCTATTCAATTAGTATATTTTATATTTTAAAATAATATTGAAAATATTATTTTCAACTATAACTTCATTTTTCTAAATTTTAATTTTAAAACATATAAATTATAGGTATGTGTAATGTTAACATATATAGTAATATAATCTATAAAATTTATTGAGAATTCTTTTGTTTTATTGTTTTTTCATTTTATACATTAAAAAGAAAATATTTTTTATTGTTCCTGTTTGTGTTAGTATCTGAACAGAACAAAATGTCTATATAGATTTATGTATCTACATAAATTATAAAATTTTGTAAATAATTTGTTGAAATTTTAGTTGAATTAAACATTTGTTATACTATTAATCATGTTCATCTTATATTCTTATGATTTGGTATATACTAGAGATAATGGAATTATTAATCATTACATTCTCTTCTACATATAGTAATATTAAAACAAAAATATCACATTTTGTAGGACATACAAAATTCAGTAACTCTTAGTTTTTTAAAAATTGAACTTGATAATACATAAAAGATGTGAAATTATAGTTTATATTATCAAAAAGAGTTAATTATAAATAATTATATTATATATAATTGTAAATAATATGTATATGTATATATGATTATTATTTAATACAAAAAATTTCACTTTATAAACTTCTCAAATGTTAAGGAATCTATTTCTTTATTCCACAATTTTTTTTATAATTATTTTTATAAAATTACATTAAAAAAATTTTAATTTGTATTATAAATGTAATATACAGAGAAAAGGGTGACAGAAACTTTTTATTTTGATATTTTAATAAATCAATGAATTAAAAATACACCTTTAAGAGTTATAATAAGTTCCATCACAAACATCAATAAAAGAGTTAATATGGTCATATGTGACTAAATCAACAAGACCATATTAACTTTTTTACTAACATTTGTGACGGAACTTAGGATTATGTTATTTTTCTACGAAATTTAATATTAATATTATACTGAAGAGGATTTAAAATAGAAGATCAAAACGCGCATATGTGGCGTGTACGTGCGTGCGTGTGTGTTTTATAATAAATTTATACACGTACAACCTGTGATGGCTCTTAAAGGCTTTTCTTTAATTCATTGATGTACTTATTAGTCTTATCTGAATTATATATTTTAATAAAAATTAGACAAATCCTGTAATGTAAATTTTAATATTATAGATTACATGGTCTAGTGACGGCACGTCAATTGGATAAGCAAACAATGTCATCGTTGGAAAAGCGAATTGCAGAAGAACGAAAGCAACGTAATGCATGTGAAGCGTCATTGCTCTCCGAAAGAAGAGCACGACGAGCTGCCGAAGAAGCGCGTTCCGCAATTCCACCACCACCACCTCCGCTTATCAGGCAAGAATGCACTGACGTGTGTAAAAATCGAAGATCTCAAATAGAACAGGACCTTAAAAATCTGCGCCGAGAACTCAAATTAAAGGAAGAAAGGTAAAAAAAACATAAATTTATTAACATTAAAGTATAAAATTATTTTAGATTTTAAATTGCACAACGCAGAATAAATTATGTGTAAATATTGTATACATATTATATGTTGATTCAGATGTAACGCATTGGAAAACGATACCGTACGATGTAAAGAGAACCACAGAGAGTGTGAAATTCTACTCTCTGCAATCAATGCGCTGCAAGATAAAAATGCACATTTGGAAAACAGCTTGAGCGCAGAAACGCGTATAAAACTTGATCTGTTTTCGGCACTTGGCGAGGTTAAGCGACAATTAGAAATCCGAGAAGGTAAATAATTGAAACAACGCTTTATCCGCATTGTTATATATATATATTTTTTTTTTCGTTTATATTATATTTTTATTTTATTAATATTTGTAATATATAATCGAAGAACTTGTAAACATTTGCCAAAAATAATAGAAACACATTATATTACACATTCTTGTTGCACTAGCAATATATCATATTATTTTTTTGTTAAATCAGGCTTAATCAGATCTCAAGAAAAAGAAATCGAGATGTTGAAAACAAAAATAGCGCAAGATTTAGCTGTGATGCCACAAGATACATTTGGTCCAACGCCAACCTGTGCGACGTCCAAGCTTCGTTTAAATAGTGAAGTGAGAGTAACAGGAACAAAAATACGTTCAACTGAAAGTCCCTGTCCGGGGTGTACCGTGTCGAATTTGGATCCGAATGCGACAGCGTACACGCCTAAAAGTTCCCTTATAGCATCAACTGAAGCTTAAGGAATTACAATTCTCTCATCAGAAACCCGATAGTAGG